TTTCTTGACAATGCATGTTCTCTCATATGAAACTCTAAAGTTCTAGTAGAGTTTGTGTAATACATTGTCTTAGGCTAAAAGATATTGTTTTTTCAGATGAATTACGATTAATAAAAACATGTTAAATATGTTATAATAACTCATATACACCACATTGAATATTCAAAACATTATTTAGATCGATATTTTTTTTTGCACAAACCGTCTCACCGTCAGACTCGTCGCACCGTCAAACCGTCAGCCTCGTCGCACCGTCAAACTAGTCAAACCGTCGCACCTTATCGAATTTCGCAAATTTAACAATTGTAAATTGTAAACATATTGATTATCACCCCGATGAACAAGTATCATGGATTGAAACTAATCCTAGATCTCCAAATTTAACATCTTTTGTTTTCTTGACAATGTATGATCTCTCATATGAAACCCTAAAGTTCTAGTAGAGTTTGTGTAACACATTGTCTTAGGGTAGAAGATATTGTTTTTTCAGATGAATTACGATTAATAAAAATATGTTAAATATGTTATAATAACTCATATACACCACATTGAATATTCAAAACATTATTTAGATCGATATTTTTTTTGCACAAACCGTCTCACCGTCAGACTCGTCACACCGTCAAACTAGTCAAACCTCGCACCTTATCGAAATTCACGTTTTTATCACGTATAAACTGTATATTAATAATCACCCTATATAACAAATATTTTAAGTTGAAAATAATTCTAACTCCCTAACTACAATACTTTTTTTTATAATATACGTTCTTTCAACTAAATCATAAAATTTTATTACAAAATATAAATTTGGAATGTATTAATACAATATCTTTATTATATCATTACAGGAATGCAAAATTTTACTCATATTCCTGGGATATTGTTTTCACTACCCATTTATGACAAGACTCGTAATAAATAATTATGATTCTTTTTATCATATGTATTCATTATGTTTGCATAAAATAAACACATAATATGAGTAATATGATCAGTTTAAAGAGTAAGACCAGATTGATGAGTATGACTATTTTGATGAGCTTTGCGAGTTTGTCCAGTTTGGAGAATTTACTCGATTTGATCCGTTTGACTCATCCATATCATATAGTTCAAATATAAATTCAAAAACAACAAAAATTATAAATGTCCAAAATGAATAACATATTTTAAAATGATAAATTATCTATCAGCAAGATTTTTGTTTATTGAATGAAATTTTTTTAGATTTTGCATTTAACAGTAAATTTATCAAGAAATTATGATACATAAGAGAAATTTGAGGAGAGACCGAAGAGAGAGAAGAGAGAGAGAAGAGGAGGGGAGAGAGAGAGCGCAAGAAAGGAGAGAGACAATTGAGAGAGAGGTGGAGAGAGAAGAAAGCGGGAGAGAGAGGTGGAGAGAGAAGAGAAAAATATAAAAGAAATTATTTTTATTTTATTATATTATATAAATTAATAAAGGGTATTATAGGAAAACTACATTTATAAGGTTATATTTGATGTTGTCTTTTTTCTTTTTTTTATGAAAAGTATCACTTGAAGTCCAATGTATCATTTAAGGGTATTTTTGCAATTGACCCCCTTAAAATAGCATGACAACACTTTTTTACTTTTAACAAATGAAGCAATTTCTTTAGTTGCAGAACCCACATGCACACATATACATACAAATCTTTCTGTTTAGTCACAAAGACTCGAATGGAATCTTATGCTTGTGATGCTTTTCATTAGATCGTGATGTGAAATAAAAATACAAATTTAATTTTGTAAAAGTTTTCCCAGATTTGCAGCCAAGCATGTTTCAATTCATAACCTTGTTATGACAAACTCAAATTTAGGTGGCCTAGTGGTAAAATAACATGTAAAGTATACTCTCATCCTGGATTCAAATCCAAGCGTAGTATACTCTCATCCTGGATTCAAATCCAAGCGTGGGGATGGGCATTCACATGGCCTTCCCCGGTCCTCTTGGAGATGTAGTCGGGCCATAGGCCCGATGAACTTCCGGATTATCAAAAAAAAAAAAACCGGATTATCAAAAAAAAAAAAAAACTTGTCATGGCAATTGTTGTCACAAGGAAAAAAAAATATGAACAAATAACCATATTTATTATAATTTATAGAAATATCCCCCCCCCCAAAAAAAAAGTAGGAGTGTATTTTAGGTTTTTGTTTTAAATTAGGTTTTACAGAAAATTTATTTCTTTGTAAAAGATTTTTTTTCGATCCACCTTACAAAATAACAAAAGAAAATAAGTTTAAAATAAAACAAGTTTATCCTATTATTTACGAATATTTATTTGGTTCAAATTTGAACTGTTATTATTTAAAAATAATTTATAATGTCATAACATATATTTAACAATATTTTTATAGAATAAACATTTTTAAAATGAAAAAGTGGAATGAATGATGTTAATTGTTTTTTTTGTTTTATGGAAAATTTATTTAATTTTATGAAGAAGCGAAATAGTGAACTTTTATTTTATTTTTTGGGTCAAATTATATACAAGTTGAGACTAATATTTAAAAAGTTTTTTCTAAAAACGCACAATTTTGTTTTAGAAAGTAAGCTACATATAAAACACAAATTATATAAATATCTCATTTTTCCCATGGGAACCCAAATCTAATTACAAGTGCCATTTTAAATCAAGTTTTAAATCGAGATGAACCAAAACTGATTCTTAAAAAGTAATATATAGTGATCACCTGATTTAGTGATTAAAAATGCTGTTGTCATATCTAAACATCTCGAATCGGAACTCCAATTCATACGACTAATTAAAGATTCTCGATTAAGTGTAATATTATTTCAAAATCCGAATATTTTTCTTAATTGAAACGGGTTTGACATCTTTTGTTATTGATATGAAAATATTTTTTAATATAGTATAATTATTAAGAAAAGTAAAGAGTGGTTTTATATATGTTTGAAAGTGAAACTACTACAAGACTCGGGTATAGTTATGATTTCGCTATAATATCAACGAGATGGTTTCAAAGATATTAATGAGTAAATTTTAAATGAATGTTTGAAAATGAGAGAGAGAGAGAGAGAGAGATGGAGAGGGGCCAAGAGAGAGATCAGAGGAGGCGAGTTTGGCAAAAGAGAAAGACGAGACAAAGTCGGCCTCTCTTCACGACTCGGTCTTCTCTGTCTGAAACTCCGACAGGCGACAGGTCTCTGTCCTCTCTCTCTCTCTCTATAAATTAATAATAATAATAATAATAATAATAATAATAATAATAATAATAATAGTTTTGTGTCTCTTATATGGCCAAGTTAATATAAGATACAAGTTGTAATGTATCATATAACGCACAACGTAATCTCCTCACAACTGTCTTATTTAAGCAATGTGTCATCTTAAGCGCCTTGCCAATCTTTGTAATAGTAATTTATCAAACTTTAAACGTGTCTTTTTTTTTTTGGAAACGATGCTCGATTAATCTCTTGGTATTTTTTTTCTATTCAAGGAGTGTAAAATTCGTATCTATTATATATATATATATATATATATATATATATATATGTCAATCCGTAGCAATCGGATTATTAGATTATTTGTATACTTTAATTAAGTCACGTTTTTTTCTTTTATTATATTCCGTAGTTTTTTTTACCATGTGTATGAACTAGGGGTGGGAAAAAAAACCGAATTTCAGATACCGATTTGACCTAAAGGTTGGATATCCGAATTTTCGGGTATCCGAGAGAACGACACACGAGATCGGATAATAATATTAAATTACCCGAATTTTCGGATACATGTTCGAGTAATTGATATTATCTCACGGGTATCCGCGGATACCCAGATAATAAAAATTTATTTTTTAAATTTTAAATTTTTATTAGATTTTGTATTATTTTATTTGATATTAATGATTATATAGATATTATTGGATATATTTATGATATTTTTTTAAAACAAATTTATTTTGGATATAAATTCAATATAATTTGATTTTGAATGATTTTGAATATGTATATATAAGTATGTTTTACAAAATTAATTGAAAATAATTATAAATATTCGGGTTCAGGTATTCGAGGATACTCAATAATTATCTCACGGGTTTTTTAGTTCGGATACTCACCTTCACGGATACGAGTTCGGGTAATAAAATATATAACCCGAGATATTGTGGTTCGGGTTCGAGTACCCTCGAAAATTTCCGGACACCCCTAGTATGAACAATCTATTCTCGTTGATATAATTCTTTTTTTTATAAGATGTGATTTGATCTGGATAAAGTTCGAAACTGGGTGGAACACTCTTTACACATTCCCACCTACCAATCAAGTGTTCATTGATAATTCTTTACTAATCATGATCAAATCATGAAGGTTTAATATATATTTTTTAATCCGATCTTCTTTACATGCTTGCTCGTCGTCATGTTCCATCAGATCATAATATCCCCTTGACCACATCACTATCTTTTAGGTGCCTTAATTTTTATTTTCTACTTTTTTGAAAAATATTGATGTGTATATAAAATTATAATGCATGGATTTTTTCTTCGCGTATAACAATTTAGCAATCAAAGCTTGTCTTACCCAATAAAAAAAAATGGACAGTGGTCAAACATTTGATAGCATAAAGACAACTCACGCATTTTCGGTTGGATATGTATAGGAGTCCCACCATTGAAGCCTATGCTTTGTCTCACTTGAACAAACATATATATACATATATGTATATATATATATATGCATTATGTTCCTAGGAACCATGTTCACTGATTTAATATTTTGAAAATATATCCATACGGTCCACTTTTAGCAGATTCCCACTGGACCAACACGTGAAATAATTCAATTATTACTTAGAAATCACATTTAATTTACATACCACACTATTCACACGCCAAATAGTTCACACTCGGCCGGAGCGAGGGATCCGATGATGGTTGTGGAAGCACAAAGTGCTCTTCACACTCAGAATTCGAATCTTGATAATCACATGTTATTAAAAAAAATAGTTCACACGGTAAGAAATAAATAAAGAAGAGGAAGAAGAAGAAGAAGCGTTGGACAGGGACAAGTTAAAACATGCATAAATCATGCCACTGTACGTAGAAAACGGAAGTAGAGGTTGGAATAACGCACGCAAACGGAAACTAGAAAAGTTTCTGGGGAGATAACGGCAGATATTTGCATGCTGTTCACTTCATTTAACGGTAACGGTGGATAAAAATCGACCATACATACACTGGCTCAACTCAAGTGGAGTGGTTAAAGTTGGGGAAGACTCCGGTCGATGATCCCGACGACGACGACGCCGGAGAAGTTGACGCCGGTGACCATCGTCCCGACTGCGGGGGAGAAACGGAGAAGGAAGGAGTTGACGGTGAAGACGACGGCGAGATGTACGGTGGGGAAGAAGGAACGGCGTCGAAAACGCCACGGAGGTCTTCCGTTGAGTAAGGGGCATCGTTCATTCCACGGCCTTTCTTGACGAAATCCAAGAATTTCTCCACTTCCTGGAGTTTTACCGGTTTGATGATATAATCTAAGGCACCTGCCTCCAAACATCTGCATATTCGAACAATTTCTTTAATATATATATATATATGTATGTATGTATGTATGTATGTATGTATGTAGAAGCCCATATATGTTTATTTTTTTGGTTTCAAAGTCGAAAGAATAGTACTCTTGAATTCTAGTGAGGACGTTGTCTGAAGACATGATTACGACTGGTATTTTGCTGTAAACCGACGAAGCCTGTTTCAAATATATATATATATATATATATATAACGGGAATTGATTAGAATGAGATTAAGGAAATAAGTAGGGGAGAAGGAGAGACTTGAGGAAGAAGAAGTGACCTTGATTTTCTCGAGAAGCTCAAAGCCGGTCATCTCCGGCATACTGTAGTCAGTCAGTATCAAATCGACTTTAACCGGCTGAAAATTAATTTAAACTGGAAAAGGGTTAGTACGTGATTAAGCACTGATTAAGATCAGAAACTGTCGGGATTCACATTTGCACGGATTTCAGAGGTTCCCTGTTCTTCGTGGACTCCCAAGAACTCCAGAGCTTTCTTCCCACTGTCTAATATCGTCACTGCAAAAAAAAAAAAGGTTCATACTCATTTTCGGAAATTTCAATGCAGTGGGAAAAAAGAGAGAAGGAAAAGGAGATGAAAAAGGCAGAACCTTTGCAGGAAGTGGTATTCTTCAGCACGCGAGCGATGAGCTTCTGGTCGACGAAGCTGTCGTCAACGGCCAAGACGTGAACTTCCTCGTCACTTGACGGCGGCTCCGTCGGGTAGACGCCGTCAACGACCGACGGAACTGAGAAGGAAACGGCGCAGTTTTCTGCCATTTGTGGGGTTTAGAGAGAGAGAGAGAGAGAGAGAGAAAAGACCGAACAGGAAGCTTTAAGTCAGAGTTAGAGGGAGATCACGAGAGATCGGAGAACAGCGGACGAAGACTCCTGCTGTACCCTTTTTATATTCATTTGCGATATATTATAATGTAACGTCTTATCTCTCTCTCAGTTTTTGTAAAAAAAGAAAAGGGCAATGCTTCGTTCGAGTTAGGAAAAAAAAAAAGGAATTAGTGAATGAAAAAAATTCGAAAATACTTTGTTCAGTATTAATGTCGGTCCAAATCATATCTTTGGCTTTCTCTCTGTAGACAGCGTGGAAATCCTCGCGATTCTGAAATTCACTTTGACGTGATCTCTGCAGTGAAAATTAAAAATCGTAAAATCAAATCACATCCGTGTGTGTCACACAGAAAAAAAAGAACATTTTGCCCATGAGTTTATAAGAAAATTTCACACAGAATCTTTTAAATAAAATCTAAATTCCTAAACTCGGTAAAAGAATGGATTATGTATTTATATAATTGTTTATATTCTGTGGTTAGTGGGATTCATATATAATTGTAGTAGTCAATCTATCGATCAATTATCAAAAATACATTTCAGAAATTAATGTATCTCCAAATTTTCCTTTGTCGTGTTCCTAAATTTGTGCCACTCACACCAAATCCAAGATTTCAGAAACAAAAATAGTAAATACTAAATAGAAAAATATACGAAGAGGAGCTGAAATGAACGATCAGGATAAAGAGGTGGGAAAGTGTTGACCGGAGATCCCAGCAAATCTGGACCGTCAGATCCGTAATAAGAAATGAAACCGAACTGACTTTTCCCCAAATACTATCATTTCTATTAAAAAAACCCTACGGACAAAAACCCTGCATGGCTCAACACTGTTTTTTTTTTCCTTCCTTCGCGCTTCTACGTATGCTCTCGTGTTCCGTCCCGTTTCCCTTTTTTTTTTTCCTAGTTTCTAAGGAAAACGATTTTATAAGTATTTAAAAAATAATGATCTTTTTGTGAACAGAATTTTGTGCGAAAAAAAAATGAAATGTTTAGAGATATAATGGAAGATGTGCAAAATTGGTTACACGATTATTAGTATATGATTGGTTTTTCCCGGGCTATATTGTCTGTTTGAATATAAATTTTATACCAATTTATTTAGGATTTCATTTTTCTTCCTATTATTTATTTAAGTTAACAACAGTAGATTGATTTAGAATATGATTATTTTATATCTTACATATGAAATATAGGAACAAAAACATTGGATCGTAATCTTATGAATTCCCACGCATTTTCATTTTTTTGGGTAAAGGATAATTGTATTAAAAAAAATTATTCACATTTTCATTGCATACCCATTCATTTATCTCTGTTGACAAGGAAAAAAAACTCCATTTATTATGCCTTTCCTTTCATTTTTTGTTTGGGGTAAATTTTCCTTTCATTTTTTTATTTGCAAACCATTATAAATTTGTGAAATTCGATTGACATATTTTAATATAATGTTATACAATACAGAGGAAAAGTATGAGAATGATTAAATTAGAAAATTCTGACCTAACAGTTTTATCTACCACATCATTTTCTGAAAACGTTAAAAATATCTATTTCACTTTCAGCATTTTAACTCACAGCACTTGCAAATATTTACACCTCTCGTCCACCAATATGCATATATATATATGCTGAAAACGTTAAATCAATCTCAAATTTATGAATTTTTTAATAGATTCGAAAGGTCGCAACTAATTAATGGGCCATATATTCATGAAATAATAATAGTGATGATGCATAGGCGGCGGTTTTAGTCGAATATCTTCAATGAGGGAGTACTGATTATAGGTAAATGTTTGACTAAATGATTAAAATAACATAAATGTAAAAAAGTCTATCTATAGGGTTAATAAAGAAGATATGCGAATAGTCCCAAAGGAAATAAGAAGTGTAGGACCCAACAACAAACGGTGAAAAGCTTCGGCATTGCAATTCTTCCACCTTACTTCCCTTCGCCTTCCGTCTCTGCCATCTCCTCTTAAATATTGATCTGGTGGCAAAATATTTTGTGGCGAAAATAGGTATTTATATATTAATTATGTTTAAATGTACCCGGTTAAAGAAAAAAAATAGCATGTTCAGCATCTACAAGAATTATGCATAAAAGTCTATAAATACAAAAGACTATATAACAAAAGAAACTGTCGAGATTATTGCTATTTAAAAGCAGAGCGTGTGAGTTTGGTGGGAGATATCTATAAAAAAAAAATACTGGTGAGAGTTATTTGAGAGATCATGAAGTATATATATTTGAGGGGAGTCTTCAAACAACAAGCGAAACGCTCACTGAGTCTAGACATAGTTTAGGGTGACACGTTGTGAGCGCCTCACACAGTGTGTTCAGGATTAGTAAAATTTCTTGTGATATTGAGTTTTTATTCAGGGAGAATGAAACTAAGTGGGTTAAGTAATACTTAGAAAGGTTTGAAATGCATTTGATTCGTATTAAAGAAATAGAATCAGTTTGTAAATTATTGTTTTATAAAATCGTATGAATGTATTTTTTTCATACCCTAATTTATATTTTGATAGCAAAAATTAGGGGCATTGAGCGAACCATATACTAATAGACTAGACTATTCAACAATGGTGCTTTTTGTTATTAGATATTTATATGGCGTTTTTAGATTTTAAATTTAGTTTGGGTTCAATTTAAAACAAATCTAATTGTCTAAAAAAGGATTTACTCCTTCCGAAAAATACACCAAAAAATAAATTTTTTTTTTGTTTCAAAATAACTCATATATTAGACGAGGAGAAACGGAACGAAGCCCAGAATTCGAGAGAGGACCCATCGAAATCTCACCGGACCATCCGCTATTATATATGTCATGGTCGAATAAAGTTTATGCGCATCAAATCGTGGTTGGAGATGAGGTACCTCCTTCGTTTTCTATTTTTTTTTTATTGTTATTTTCCTTTGACAATATATAGTTAGGGTTGTTCAATTTTTTCATTTTTTTGGGTAATATATCCAACGTCTTGGATCAAGATGCAAACTAATTTCGGAACCGTACATAGAGGGCAAAGCTTTCTACACAGTCCTAATCTTTGACGTTCATCATCTACGTGTCCTAATCTCTCTCATAAAGTTAATTAAATAACATTTATTACTCACCAAAATAGAGAGAGAGAGAAATTAAGCTCTTCTAATCACGAGAGAGAGAGAGAGAGAGAGAGAGAGAGAGAGAGAGAGAGAGAGAGAGAAGCTAATTAATTAAAACACATATGGAAAGGGCAACCGGGTGTGAACTCGGTTCTGAATGCGCGCATGATTGGCTCGCAAGAACACTAAAGGTGCTTGCAGATGTTCTCTACCGATTTCGTATACTGCACTTTGTGCCATATGCAATCACCATTTAAAACCAAAACTTATATATACACACACATCAGTAATTTTTTGTGATGTTTACTATATAATTGGAAGGTTGATATAGGTAGCAGATAAACCGTAATTATAAAAGCAAAAAGCAACACTTCACAAAAAGGAGAAATGAAAGCAGAAACATGTGTGAGTGTAAACCCAGATATGATGAGACGCCACATACGTAGACGCATGTTCCCTGTTATTTAAGTGGAGAAGAAGAAAGACATATGATGTCACTGTCAATTTTTGTTAATTGTAAATTTATATAATGTAGCCCGAGTAGAAATGTGGAGTGGAGTCTTAAGATCTATTTCTTTAGCGTCGGTGCATATATGACTATTGCGTGCATGGTTCGATGCACGCGAGAGTCGCGTGTCCCATATGGCCGACCAGACATCATATTAAGTCCGATACTTGCGAGAAACGGTCGAAAACCATAGTCCCATTGAAAACACCTCATTGCCCGTCGAATCTTTCCACCCCTCTAAGAAAAACGACAATGAGCGAAACTAACTTTAAAACTAAAATAAAAAGTAGTTGGAAAAAAGTCGTCTCTTTATTTCTCGACCCATAATCTTTTTTTTTATATAAAAAAATTCATGTTCAAGCCTGTAATCGTGGGTTTCTTCTCGTTATTGGGTCATATCTATGGTTTCCATCGGTTCATTCATCATTAGGTTGACGTTGGAAATCTGGACTATCCCCCCTCTTCTTCTAGACAGATTATTTTATGGCAGACAACCTCTGCTTTAATATCTCAAGAAGTGCTTGATTTCGAGTTTGATTTCCTCTAGAGAAATGACAAAATCATTTCTATCGTGAAAGCAACAAAAATTCATTATAAAAAAAAATTAACATCAAACCACCAAATTCTGTTTTTTTAAATGATGAAATATACTGTTAAAGATATAGACACATATCTATTATATATATATATATATATAATTTGGTTGAATGAAAAATTAAAGGGGCACTATTCGGTGGTTGGTCACATGTACTATTTCAAATTTTTGTAAAAAAAGGTAGTTATGATCAGACGGAGTTTTTCCCGACCATTCAAATGTAGTAGGACGGTTCATTGTTTTATTTGATGTTTGTGTCGAAACTCTTTTTGACGTGGACGTGTAATTAATATCTCAAAGCTTTTATGGGCCCTAACAGTAGGCTTGAATGGGCCTTATGCTAAAATGGGCCTTGTGCTTGTGTTCTTTGCGTTGTGCGACAGTGGTTCTAGTCGTCGACTGCGGATGGAGTGCGGCGGACAGGGCTCTGGGACGCGGTGCATCGGCCCGCCGACGCGGCGGTGTGGTCGTTGCGGCGCCGTCGCGTACTGCTCCGTCTCTCACCAGGTTCTCTTGTTCTTCGTACTTTCCGAAACTTAGTTCTTTGAGGATCTGATCGATTTCTTGCTCCATGAGTTTGTAATCGTCCCTCGAACGTCAAATTGCCATGGAATTTGAATGATTTGATCTCTTTTGACTAATTTTAGTACTGGTTATTCTTCGATTGTGCTCTTTTGTTCGAAGTGAGTGATGTGGTATGCGATCATTAACTTACGAATTTTACAGTCAAATTTCGTTGTGATTATTATTGGTTTTGTTATGTGAGTTCGGTAACCTGAAGGGGTTGTGGTGCAATTAATCCTAAGCTAATGGTGAATTCGATGGTAGATTTCGCATTGGAGCTATCATAAGGAAGAATGTGAGAGGCTTGAAGAGCAAATGAGCCGCGTAGATTCGTTGAATGATTTTCCATTCACATTTACGGAAGAAGCTATCCAGGTGTGATATGTCATTGCCTGATACGGAAGGCATACTATGTAATGCCTGTAGTTCATGCAGTTTCGTCGGAGTTTTTGGTATGTTGTCATGTTTTAACCGATGTAGGTTTGTCGGAAACAGGGGAGCAGGTGCTCTTTCCTTAGCAAAAGAGGAATCCATCATACGGGAATGTGGATTTTCGAATGCAATTGCGGAGCCTCAGCATGGTCGATGGGTGTTGCTCGGTATCTTCCCCTTCCCTTTTATCTCTGGGGATACTTAGTTTTACAAGGTTGGAGGAGCCCTCTGTATTCATATGTTGATTTTCAAGCTGTTGGCACTTGATTTCAGTTTTATCTTTTCTCTGCAGCTTTAAGAGTGAAAGCTGGAATTTTCCGAGCTCTTCTTGTCCATGTCGTGGTATATCTGATTTCCTTCCTCTCTACATAATTTGGTTGTGAATAATATGTTTCTCCAGAATTCATCTCACTTGGGATCATTCAGGGCCTTCATCTCCATTCCCGACCCAGCTATGCAATTGGAAGGAGTATTACGATTGGAGACGCATACCGCTTGACTCTCCCGTGGCTTTACTTCTACACTGGGTAACTTCTCTTGTCCCTTGTCTCATTGGTTGTTAGAATGCATTACTGTGATTAGGACCTTCTATTTGTTGACACCTAGAGTTCCTTGTTCGTTATTTCAGCCACTTACAGTATACCATGCCATGCAAGCTGTTGGGCTGAGAAATTTGACAAGCCAAAACAGTAATGAAGTTTGCATACATTATCTTGGTATGTGACTTCCTCTAGATTTTCTCACACATTGGGTAGCTTCCTCACTGATATATATTTTTTTGTGTTAAACATTTTGATACCAACCTATCAGCTTGTTTTTCTCCGATTTCATGTAAGAGTATTTAGATATAATATAATGTAACACATACAAAAACATATGACATGAGTTATTCCAGATTACAACGATCATCAGTGTTCAAATGATTTCATCGTCTTTCTTGCTGTGATATAATGGTTTGCTGATAGTCTGAGCTTCTGAAGGGCCTCAGAAAGAACTCGGTCAACTTGGTGTCTTTGCTGAGTTGCAAGCTCTCTTCCCTGGTGTGCGCATTCTTGTAGAACTGGTCGGGCCTGATGTTCCACTGTATAGGTGAGCCATTCGCTTGACAAATTCCTCAGACATATGCCATATGTGTAGTATAAAATATAAATCATCTTTTGACTGGTCAAGAAATTAATTAATAATCCCGCAGTATCTAGAAGCTTCTGTTATATCTTTGTGGGAGCTGTCCAACGGCATTCC